CCGGCAACTCGCAGAACAGGAGCCGGGTCAGGAGAATATTTACCACTCAGTTTTCGTACTTTTTTCCAGACTGCACTCATAGAGGAAGCAGAGGTGATGGTGGAGACATAATCTCGCCAGCAAGTGCGTTTAGCGTCACGGATGACATGGCGAGCGATCGCACTCTTCTGCTTAAATTCAAGAAGTCTCTCTGTGGTTCTATTGTACCGGTACCTGCCCCATGCAGCGCATTTCAAATGTACTGCATGAGCACAAGCAGGAGACCACCAAGGCACGCATTTCTGAGAATGCCTGCCCGAAGTTTGGGGTATAGAATGAGAAGCTGCGGTTAAAACTGAGGTCGAGAAGAGGTGTAAAAGCTCATCGATGGAGGACGAAGAAGGAACCTCTCTAAAAACAGTTAGGTGTGAGTAAAGGTTCCAATTTGCCAGATCAAATTGCCAGTGTGGGATGCGAAGAGGTGGTGAATATGAAGGGGAAGTAAGAATGATTGGGAAATGATCGCTGTCATGTAAGTCCGGAAGAACAGACCAAGTGAAGTCTAATGCGGCAGAGGAAGAGCAGACTGAGAGGTCGATGCAAGAGTATGAGTCCGAGGATCAAATATGGTGCGAGTACCTGTATTTAAAACATGGAGGGGGTGGGTGGCAAGAAAAGCCTCTAACTGAATGCCACGGGAATCACAGTGAGACCCCCCAGAGGAAATGGTGGGCATTAAAATCACCAAGTAACAGAATCGGTGGTGGTAATGACGAAACAAGAAAGGCAATATCCGGAATAGATAATGCCTGAGAAGGAGAGAGATATAAAGAACAGCGCGTATACCACCTATGCAAGTGGATACGGGATGCTGTGTAATGCAGCGAAGTACGAACAAATAGCTGATGGAACGGAATATCAGTGCGTAGAAGAAGGCCACTTTCATTAAAGGTCCCATCAGGAAAAGGATCTGAAGAATACAATAAATTATAGCCTGAGATGGGAGAGATAACAGCAGAGTGTAATTTTGTTCCTGTAAGCAAACACCAACAGGGGAAAACTGGGAGAGTAACATCTGAAGCTCACCTCGATTACCCCTGAGGCCGCGTATATTCCACTGTAAATAGGCCATGATTGGCAATGATAAAGATACCTGAAATCCGCAGGTAAGGGTTCCTACGGACTAGAGGGGTTAGAAAAGTCCACATGCGGAGGCAGTGGAAAACGTTCAAGCAGCGAAGGAACGGTGCCTCTGTGAAGAAAAGGAGTTGCGCAGATGGAGTAGAGGAAGAGGAGCGAGGGTGGATCAGTGTCCATTGATGGTTTGGTCTCTGCAATATATTCAGAGATTGCTTCAAGTGTTTCAGAATTCAGAGACGTCGTATGGGAAACAATATTGGAAATGGTAGGGGGAGGATGAGTAAAGATTGGAACTGTAATGGACTGTACCAAGGTAGAGGGGGACGGAAGGGTGGAGGGAACTGGAGAAGCGTGGAAGGGGACAGAAGAGGCAGAAACCTGGGAGGTGGCCGAAGAGGAAGAAACTTGGGAAGGAACAGGGGAGGAATGTATAGTACGAGGAGGGTGAACCTCTACACTTGTAACAGAGCCAGTGAGAGGGAGAGAATCAGGTACAGAGACAGGGAAGGGAAAATGAGGAGGTGGAAGATGGGTAGGAGGTGTTAACGGACCTTTTTTTGACTTTGGAGAAGTAGAGGGACGATTGGGAGGAGGTGTCATACGAGATCTCGTCGCTACTGAGGCTTGTGAGAGAGAACATGAAGAAGCAAGATCAGACTGAGACGTTGACGTAGGGACGTCTGAGCCGAGGACAGCAAAAGAATTAGCTACAGGAGTGGCTATGGGAGAGGTAAGCACAGAGGTGGGTGCAGAAGATGGGATACAAGAAGTGGGGGGACGTTTTGAAACACGGGAATAAGAAACACGAGGTAGTCTCCCTTGGCGGCGGAGATGAGAAACTGCCATGGCATAAGGGAGACCTTCTGCCTCTTTGAGGTAACGGATTTCTCGCTCGTTTAAGTAGACTTGACAACGGCGAGAGTACGAAGGGTGAGCCTCATGACAATTAAGGCAAGAGGGAGGTCGATTGCAAGACATATTAGAATGGTCATCGGCACCACAAACTGGGCATTCGGCGATAGATCTGCAATATTTCGCTGGATGGCCAAATCACCAGCAATTTCTACACTGTTGCGGTGTAGGGATCACCTTTCGAACTTGTAACCGATGTCCTGCTACATAAACTGAGGATGGGAGTTCACGGCTGTCAAAAGTTAAACGAGCCACATTGCTAGGGTATCGTCTCTGCCCGCGGGGAGGAAGAACGTAAGTGTCTACCTTGAGGATTGGGAGATCTTGGAGTTCCAGCTGTTCAAGAATGTCAGTGCCACATGTCTGGAAATTTTGTTGAACTATGGTATGGGGCAGAATGATGGTACCACTGCAAGAATTGAGGGAATGATGCTTTTCAATAGTTACAGAAACAGTATTGATATGGGAAAGACGAGAAAGCTCATGAGCCTGGGTAGCATTCTGTACGGTGACGATGCGCGTACCGCTCTTAAGAGCATGAAAAGAAATATCTTTACCAACATGGCGTAGGAGTGCCTTGCCAATACTGTGGTCAGAAAGATAGGCAGTAGAGGAAGTCGGTCGTAAAGTGAAGAATTTAGTCCATTGTGCAGTCTGAAACTGAGCGTGGAGAGGTAGTGAAGGACGTGTCGATCTTTTCTGAGAAGAACGAGAATGTGGAGAAGTATCATCAGCAGGTAACTGTCGTTGTCGTTTAGGCGTGGGACCAGAGTTGGTCCAACGTGGAACGGGCCGGCGATTCGAAAATTGCCGCACCGTAGAGGGAGAGGCCGAAGCATAGTCAGAGGAGAGCGAGAGGTCAGATAAATCGAAGGAGTCAGTCGAGCCTCAGTACCTGAAGCGGGTGAGGAAACAGCACCGGCAAGAGGTACAGAGGCATGAGGAGTGTCCGAAGAGTGGTCCAGAGACGGGGCGGGGTCAGAACGGGGTGCGGTATCAAGAAGGGGCCCAGGGGTAGCAGGTTCATGGACTAGGGCTGCCATGGTTAGGTTACTTCTTTCTTTTTGTTTTTAAGAAAAAAAAAAGAAAGAAAATAAAAAAAAATAAAAAAAGGGGGGACCGGGGAGGGATAGTTCCTAGGAGGAATGAAAGGGCCAGAAATCTCCCTCCTCGCCCAAGAGGACCTCAGCACCGCAGGTGCAGCATGGAACCCGTGCCATACCCTACCCATCATGCCAGTAAACCAGCAATCCGGGATAGCAACCTCACATCTGCTGAGCTACCTCGGTGGACAAAAGAGAGGGCGGCCGGAAATCCGCCACAAAGCATACCTCCTTCGGCCACCACCCCCGGAATCCGAAAGGTGGCTTCCAGAGATACACCCGTCGCCCGAGATACACCCGTCGCCCGAGAGACACCCAAAGCCACCCTCCGGGATACCGGAGAGGGATCAGGACATCCCCAGGCAATCCAGATTCCACGGCAAACTATGCCACCGCCAAGAACCTCAACGGAATGGGATGGACCCCGGTACCCTTTCCCCTACCTAGGAACTAGCGTGCCTGTGGAAAAAAAAAAAGGCCAAAAAGGAAGGGCAAAAGGGAGGGGTGGGGAGGAGGAGGAAAGGAAAAAGGGGAGGATGGGATAGGGAATGGGGGATAATTAGGTTCGGTCTGAGGAAGTAGACCGACAGGTCTAATTCCTCAGACCAAGAGCCTCTTCACCACGCCAAGGAGCCCCCCTTGAAGAGGCAGCGCTGTATAGCCCTTCTGGCTTAGCACTTCTTTTTGATTATAATAATAATTATACTGTAAGGTTTAGGATAAACACTGTACAACACAAATAGTTGTTTATTTCCCAGAAATTTGGCATAAAAAACATGGTCATAAGTCGAGTGGTCGTAAGTCGGATGGTAGGTGTATTCAATTGCAGGCTTACATGGAAACCTTACATTTCCTCTTTGAAGGCACCTGGCCAAGGTTGGCTGAATTTCCTTAAAATTCTTGTGCATCGTTCATGGGGAGAAGATCGCTGGACTCTTCTCCATTTGCATTCCACGCTAGTTTTGTCCAAGCTGGATTATGGTGACCAAGTCTATTCTGTGGCTTCACCTACAACTCTAAGTTAGATCCCCTTCTTCATCAGGATCTACATTTTGTCCCTTTAATTCATCCCGTTGAAAGCCTCTATGCTGAGGTGAATGTTCCATTCTTAGCCGATCGTCTTGCTCATTGCCTTCGTTATTTTGTCCGCTATCATGACCTTCGTGTTCCTTCTACATATAGGTTGGTCTCTAACTTTAGTAAAGCCCATTATTTGTTCGGTGCCCCTGCTTACTCCAACCATTTTCATCTTCACTCCAGTTGCCTCTCCTGTATGTTCATGTAGCATCTGCCTTTTCCTTTCCCGCTTGGGAGGTTCTGACTGTTCATGTCTGTTCTCCCCTATTGCCAAGTGCCAAAGCTCTCCTACCTGTAGCTGCTGCTGTTTTTTTTTTTTTTTCCTTGATCACTTCCAGTCACATGCTCATGTCATAGCTGTTTATACAGATGGTTCTAAATCTTCTGACGGTGTTGGGTTTGCAACGGTATTCCCAGTCGCTGTTGTCCAGGGTCATTTGTTAGACTCGGCCAGTATTTTTACTGCCAAGTTGTATACCATCCTTAGTGCGCTTCTCTGTATTACGTACGTCTTTTGGCATTTGTGATCACTTCAGATTCCCTCAGCGCTTTACAGCCATTAAACAATTTGATTTCCCTTATCCATTGGTCCTTCGTATTCAACTTCGGTTGCACCATGTGGCTAGCAAAACCACCTAGTTGTTTATAGCCCCAGCACTATTTTCTGCCAGGCAGTGCTGCATGACCCTTGTTGGTTTAGCACATTACGTATTTGATAATAATAATAGAACTGTTACCTTAATACTTTTCCAATTTAAAACTTCACAAGTGGCCAAATAAAACACAACATAAATTATCTTTTATTTATTTATATAAAAGTTACCATTACAAACCAATGGTACACCTTGGACTATAGACAAAATTTTATTTCAGTAATTCTACAGAACTTCTTGTAACAACCTGCAGAGTTTGGTAATATAGTGATTACCCAAAACTGCAGTAGAGATGCATAATTTAGATTTACAATTATAATACACATCACAGATTGAACAGCCTGACAACTGGGAGTCAGACATCAGACCATTTGTTCCAGGACAGCAGTCATGTCCTCAAGACACTAAGGTCAACACACAGCTTAAGCTCACTCATATGGCCATTCTATTTGTAGTAAATATCAAACATGGAGGTTTCATGGAATGTTTGACGATTAACTCCTGGTAATACAGGAAAAAAGAGGTCCATGTCATCCACCCACTAACCTGCTGTCTATGTATATATTTTTTTTTTTTTTGAAGTTGGAACAATGCTGCAATAGCTATTAATCATTCACTGTTAAAACAATTCACAATCATACTTCCTGAATGCCCAAAGAGGGTAGCAGCTTGAACGCCACTATTCCAGAAGACAGTCTACCACTCGTTGAGGCTATGAGTGGTGTTGACAGTAGTGGCACAACACATCTGGGTTAGGGTGGGGTATTTAAGGAACAAGGCAGACTGCAGGAACACCTGAGCACCCCACACCATACTCCATTCTACAATTGCCAACCCTAATACAGATAAAAATGAAAATTCATTAGATTTGAAAAAAAATATAACACTTGCAAATTTATAAATCAAATGTACCAAAGCCAGCATAAGGTAACTATTTTTAACAACCTACTATGGTGTTGAAGGTGGTGGTCATGTAACTCGGCCAGTGTTGTTATAACGGTGGGCATGTTCACTATGAGGAATCATCTGACCTCTGGTTGATTGGACAGGTCCTGGAGCTAACCCAGTTACATGAAGATTGAAGAAATCAAACAGCTGTGATAAAGCTTCTCTAACTCCTTCTGATAACAGTCCTGCATCACCTTCACCATACAATGCTGCAAAAAAAAAAAAAAAAAAAAAAAAAAAAAAAAAAAAAAAAAAAAAAAAAAAAAAAAATTGTACACTGATAGTTTTGTTAGGGGAAAATATAGATGCAAGACTATAGGACATTATTATAATAATCAAAAAGCAGCACTAAGCCACAAGGGCTAGACTACAGGATAAAATGCCCCTTTCCCTCTTTTGTAATGCATTTTGCCATTGCATAGCAGCTGCAATACATGAACATTCCTCTTACAATTCCTTGCTTAGTAAATAAACTTAGGTGAACAAAAGGATTTTTCCATAACTATATTTAAAATATTTTTCAGAATTGCATTAAACAATGGCTTACATTACAATGAATAAAAATTAGTGCAAATCTAATTTTTACATCAATGTCTCTCTAAAGGAACTTTACCTTTTTCATGGCAGTAATGTGTCTGAAAGTTAAGACACATGTGCAACAACTGGATACCTTTATTGTAGACATTTCGCCATCCAGTGGCTTTGTCAATACAGAGGAGATTCTCCTCCACCACAATGATGTGAACACTAACTCCAAGGCTGAGAGACTGATTACCTCATCTTTTGTATATAGTTCTGTCTTCTAAGTATGTCCTAGAATCTGTATTGTTAAAGCCACTGGATGACGAAACATCTACAATAAAGATATCCAGATGTTGCACATGTCTTAACTTTCATTGTTGGTATTTTATACTTTTCTTGCACAGTAATGTGTCTGCTGATAATTCCTCTATATTTAAAGAGGTTTAAAAGTCTTAAACCTCTTACACCTCATTTCTCAGTTACTCGGGTATTTTCCAGGTATAAATTATTACACATCTTGCCTGCATTCCAAGGAATACAGTTAAAGGGACTTTTGGCAAAAATATCCTCTTCAAGGGGGGGCTCCTTGTTGTGGTGAAGAGGCTCTTGGTCTGAGGAATTGGACCTGTCGGTCTCCTTCCTCAGACCGAACCTAATTACCCCCCAATCCCCCCTTCCCTATCCCATCCTCCCCTTTTTCCTTTCCTCCTCCTCCTCCCCACCCCTCCCTTTTGGCCTTTGGGATTTTTTCCCACAGGCACGCTAGCTCCTAGGTAGGGGAAAGGATCCGGGGTCCATCCCATTCCGTTGAGGTTCTTGGCGGTGGCATAGTTTGCCGTGGAATCTGGATTGCCTGGGGATGTCCCAATCCCTCTCCGGTATCCCGGAGGGTGGCTTTGGGTGTCTCTCGGGCGACGGGTGTATCTCTGGAAGCCACCTTTCGGATTCCGGGGGTGGTGGCCGAAGGAGGTATGCTTTGTGGCGGATATCTGGCCGCCCTCTCTTTTGTCCACTGAGGTAGGTCGGCAGATGTGAGGTTGCTATCCCGGATTGCTGGTTTACTGGCATGATGGGTAGGGTATGGCACGGGTTCCATGCTGCACCTGCGCTACTTGCGGTGCTGAGGTCCTCTTGGGGGCGGAGGGAGATTTCTGGCCCTTTCATTCCTCCTAGGAACTATCCCTCCCCGGTCCCCCCCCCCTTTTTTTATTCTTTTTTTTTATTTTCTTTTCTTTCTTTTTTTTCTTATAAACAAAAAGAAAGAAGTAACCTAACCATGGCAGCCCTAGTCCATGAACCTGCTACCCCAGGGCCCCTTCTTGATACAGCACCCTGTTCTGACCCCGCCTCGTCTTTGGACCACTCTTCGGACACTCCTCATGCCTCTGTATCTCTTGCCGGTGCTGTTTCCTCATCCGCTTCAGGTACTGAGGTCTCGACTGACTCCTTCAATTTATCTGACCTCCGCTCTCTGACTATGCTTCCGGCCTCTCCCTCTACGGTGCGGCCATTTTTGAATCGCCGGCCCGTTCCACGTCGGACCAACTCTGGTCCCACGCCTAAATGCCAACGACAATTACCTGCTGATGATACTTCTCCACCTTCTCGTTCTTCTCAGAAAAGATCGACATGTCCTGCACTCCCTTTCCACGTTCAGTTTCAGAATGCACAATGGACTAAATTCTTCACTTTACGACCGACTTCTTCTACTGCCTATCTTTCCGACCACAGTCATTACGATTTCTTAAGTCACAGTATTGGCAAAGCACTCCTATGCCATGTTGGTAAAGATATTTCTTTTCATACTCTTAAGAGTGGTACGCGCATCATCACTGTACAGAATGCTACCCAAGTTCATGATCTTTCTCTATTTTCCCATATCGATACTGTTCCTGTCACCATTGACAAACATCATTCCCTCAATTCTTGTAGTGGTACCATCATTCTGCCCCATACCATAGTTCAACAAAATTTCCAGACATGTGGCAATGACATTCTTGAACAGCTGGAACTCCAAGATCTCCCAATCCTCAAGGTAGACACTTATGTTCTTCCTGCCCGCGGGCACAGACGATACCCTAGCAATGTGGCTCGTTTAACTTTTGACAGCCGTGAACTCCCATCCTCAGTTTATGTAGCAGGACATTGGTTACAAGTTCGAAAGGTGATCCCTACACCGCAACAGTGTAGAAATTGCTGGCGATTTGGCCATCCAGCAAAATATTGCAGATCTATAGCCGAATGCCCAGTCTGTGGTGCCGATGACCATTCTAATACGTCTTGCAATCGACCTCCCTCTTGCCTTAATTGTCATGAGGCTCACCCTTCGTACTCTCGCCATTGCCAAGTCTACTTAAATGAGCGGGAAATCCGTTACCTCAGAGAGGCAGATGGTCTCCCTTATGCCATGGCAGTTTCTCATCTCCGCCTCCAAGGGAGACTACCTCGTGTTTCTTATTCCCGTGTTTCAAAACGTCCCCCGCTTCTGGGGTCCCATCTTCTGCAGCTTCCTCTGTGGTTACCTCTCCCATAGTCACTCCCGTATCTAATTCTTTTGCTGTCCTAGGCTCAGACGTCCCTACTTCAATGCCTCAGTCTATTCTTGCTTCTTCATGTTCTCCCTCACAAGCCTCATTATCGACGAGATCTCGTACGACACCTCCTCCCAATCGTCCCTCTACTTCTCAGAAGTCAAAAAAAAAGGTCCTTTAACCCCTCCTTCCCTTCTTCCACCTCCTTATTTTCCCTTCCCTGTCTCTGTACCTGGTTTTCCCCCTCTCACTGGCTCTGTTACAAGTGTAGAGGTTCACCCTCCTCCTCGTACTGTACCTTCCTCCCCTGTTCCCTCCCAAGTTTCTTCCTCTTCTGCCACCTCCCAGGTTTCTGCCTCTTCTGTCCCCTTCCATGCTTCTTCTCCAGTTCCCTCCACCCTTTCGCCCCCCCCTACCTTGGTACAGTCCATTACAGTTCCAATCTTTACTCATCCTCCCCTACCATCTCCAACATTGTCTCCCATACGACGTCTCTGAATTCCGAAACACTTGAAGCAATCTCTGAATATATTGCAGAGACCAAACCATCAATGGACACTGATACACCCTCTGTTCCTTCTCTCTCCTCTCCTCCATCTGCGGAACTCCTTTCTTCACAGCGCACCGTTCCTTCGCTGCTTGAACGTTTTCTGCTGCCTCCGCATGTGGACTTTTCTAACCCCTCTAGTCCGTAGGAACCCTTACCTGCGGATTTCAGGTATCTTTATCATTGCCAATCATGGCCTATTTACAGTGGAATATACGCGGCCTCAGGGGTAATCGGGGTGAGCTTCAGATGTTACTCGCCCAGTTTTCCCCTGTTGATGTTTGCTTACAAGAACCAAAATCTCACACTGCTGTTATCTATCCCATTTCAGGCTATAATTTATTGTATTCTTCAGATCCTTTTCCTGATGGGAACTTTAATGAAAGTGCCCTTCTTCTACACACTGATATTCCGTACCATCAGCTAATTGTTCGTACTTTGCTGCATTACACAATAGTCCGTATCCACTTGCATAGGTGGTATACGCTCTGTTCTTTATAGTATCTCTCTCCTTCTCGGCATTATCTATTCCGAATATTGCCTTTCTTGTTTCGTCATTACCGCCACCGCTTCTGTTACTTGGCGATTTTAATGCCCACCATTTCCTCTGGGGGGGGGGTCTCACTGTGATTCCCATGCCATTCAGTTCAAGGCTTTTCTTGCTACCCACCCCCTCCATGTTTTAAATACAGGTACTCACACCCATTTTGATCCTCGGACTCACACTCTCTCTTGCATCGATCTGTCTGCTCTTCCTCTGCCGCATTAGACTTCACCTGGTCTGTTCTCCCGGATTTACATGACAGCGACCATTTCCCAATCATTCTTACTTCCCCTTCATATTCACCACCTCTTCGTATCCCACGCTGGCAATTTGATCAGGCAAATTGGAACCTTTACTCACAACTAACTGTTTTTAGAGAGGTTCCTTCTTCATCCTCCATTGATGAGCTCCTACACCTCTTCTCGTCCTCCGTTTTAACCACAGCTTCTCATTCTATACCCCAAACTTCGGGCAGGCATTCTCAAAAATGTGTGCCTTGGTCTCCTGCTTGTGTTCGTGCAGTACGTTTGAAACGCGCTGCATGGGGCAAGTACCGGTACAATAGAACCACAGAGAGACTTCTTGATTTTAAGCAGAAGCGTGCGATCACTCGCCGTGTCATCCGTGACGCTAAACGCACTTGCTGGCGAGATTATGTCTCCACCATCACCTCTGCTTCCTCTATGAGTGCAGACTGGAAAAAAGTAAGAAAACTGAGTGGTAAATATTCTCCTGACCCGGCTCCTGTTCTGCGGGTTGCCGGTGTTGACATAGCAAACCCACTAGATGTTGCCAATGAAATTGGCAATCATCTGGTCTGCATTTCTCAGGGGCTCCATCTATGCCCCTCGTTTCTTTCCTCAAAGTCTGCCAGAGAGTTAGCACCCTTGGACTTTTATTCTATCAGAGAAGAACAGTATAATGTGCCTTTTACACTTCAAGAACTGGAGGCAACACTCTCAGCTTGCCGATCATCGGCAGCTGGGCCCGACGACATTCATATTCGTGTGCTACAACATTTACATGAGTCAGCCCTTGCAGTCCTATTATGCCTTTTCAATCTAT